GTTACTTAAAAATCACTATCCTCCCTCCACACCAAAACCTTGTTCCACTGGATACTCTACCCTTCTAGTCACTATTCTCCACTCACCTCATTGGTCACTTTCACTCATTCTTAGAATTTGTCACCTGCCTCATCTACTCCCGCTCCACCTTAGATTTAACCCTAGTCCTAGGCACCATCCAAGGATGACCCAAATAACACTCTGATCTCTCTACATTTCCAAAAACCTTCACCTCTAGTCCACTCCACTTCTATGGCCATATCCTAGATTTCATCATCATTCTACCCCCCAAAACACCTACTCAATATGCTCATCTCCACCACCATTTCTCTTTCAAGCCTCACTCAACTATTCCTAATACACCAGTTATCTCACTTCAGTGGAATCTATCAGCAGCTCTACTGTCTACTCCTCAACCTTCTCTGGACTTCAAATTCTCCCGCACCCTAACCTCGTCTTAGATTCCAGGGCCCTTGATTCTCCTGCTATTGTCTTAAACTCCTTTCTTTGTCCTGCTGTGGCACTCACCTGACAAAACTCCAGCCCCTGCTGACTCTTCCATAACTACACAAGCCACTTTCTCCTGATGCCACAGAAAATCCCATAACAGAGTAGACTGACACTTCTACAAATTGTCACCAAGTTCAGCCAAGCTCTCACCCTTGCCCTGCAATCCTTCTCTTTCTCTAGTCAGCTTACAATCCACCGAGTTAACCACCATCCTTTGAAAAATGCCTCAAAGAGAAACCTCACAAATGCAGCAGTAGGTTTACGCAGGAATGTTCAAGGAAAGTTCTTAACAAAAAAAGCTGCAAGTGACCCAGCAGAATATATAAACTGTACACTGAGATAATGGAATAGTATACAACAGTGAAAAAGAATAACTTCATCTGCATGCATGACATTAATAAATCTCAAAAGCATAATCGTGAACAAAAAAAATTTATAGGACTACACTGATTCCATTTAAATGGATTTTAAAGATGAAGCAATAGGCACTGTTAACTTCCCACCTTAAACAAAGGGAGAACCATACAAAATACATGAAGCAGTGAGTTTCAGCAATGGATAATAGGCAGCACAGGACTGTGACCCCTGGGAAAAGGGAAGAAAATTGAAGTAGGGCATAGAAGCCTGAGTTAAGGAGACACAGATTGAAGTTTGAGAAGACAAAGGTGGCTAGAGTTTGAGGCAGAATACTTAAAGGGATAGAATTTTTCAGAGAGACTATGCTCAAGATCTGGAGAGGTATCCCTTTGAGCCTTTGACTAAGTGCTGATAAAGCATAAGAACTTACCCAAGACTAGCAAGAAGACCACTGAAAACAAGTAGGCAGAACAATTCCTGGAGCTCACACAGGGCAGCAGACATACATAATATACAGATCAAGCAGAATCTTTGGGATTTTGTCTTAGTGGTGGGGCTAAATTAGCTCTAGATAAAAGGCAGTTCTGGGCCTGTCCTAGAAAAGCTTAAAAGCAAGCCTCATATAAATAAAAATTCCCTAAAAGTAGAAAAAAAAGCCTCAAAGGGATCCAACAAATTCTAAGAAGTAAAATGCATGCCAGAAGTAAAAGCCAACACTACTTAAAGGAATAAAACAAAACCCAGCAACCAACAATGTAAATGCACAATTTATCTGGTATCCAGTAAAAAATTAGCCATTCAAAGCAGCAGGAAAATAAAAACAATTATCAGGATAAAAATCAATTGATAGACCCAGAAATGACAAAAATGATAAAAATAGCATCTGAGGATATTGTAGCTATGCTTCATACGTTCAAGAAGATAGAGGAAAGCATGAGCATGATAAGAATAGAAATGGAAAATATAAAAAAAAATTCAGATAAAATTTCTAGAGATGAAAAATACAGTATCTGAAAATCACGCTGGTTGGAATCAATTAGACACTGTGGAAGAAAAGATCAGTTAGCTTGAAGGTATCTAAAATGAAGCAGAAAAAGAAAAGGCTGAAAATGGAGAGCATCAGTAACCTGTGGGATACTGACAGCATCAAGCAGTCTATTATATGGGCAGATTGTGTCAGGAGAAAGGTGGGGAGGGGGAACAAAAATCGACAAAACAACGGCCAAAGTTTTTGCAAATTTTATTAAGACTGTAACCTTTGATTGAAGAAGTTCAATGAACCTCAAGCACAATAAACAAAGCTCAAAACCACATTAAACCAATCAGTATAGTTTAAGAATAGATACATATATGGTCAAAACATAGAAAAGCAAAGGCAAGATTAACCAAAATTCAGGATAGTGGTTACCTCTATGGAGAAGGATGAAGGGAAGTGATCAGAGTTCAAAGTCTTCAAATGTATTAGCATGTACTTTTTCTCAAGTGACATAAAGGGCAAATAAGTTTTGACTTTTATTCTTTAAATTGCATATACACAATTCTTTGCACGTATAACAGAACATAATAAACAAAATAAATTAGTGAAGTTTGTCCATTCTCCTGTGTTATCTATAGCACAAGCCAAAAACCTGAGTCATCCTTGAACACTCCATTAATCAGTCCAATTAATTCTCTTAATCTTTCTAGTCTCCCACCTCCCCTGCCACACCCTGGTCCAAGCCTCCTTCAACTGTACCTGGATCAGTGAAAACTTCCTCTTCCTTAAGGCAGTCAAAGAAACCATTTTTAAATATGATTATATCTCTTTAGTCTGAATCTATTAATCTTGCCCCACTGGCTATTCTGAAGTAACAGAGATAAGTAAATTGCCCAAGGCCACACAGCCAGGAAATAGCAGACAGGATTCAAAATCTGTCTTACTGGAGAGCCCACAAAGTCTTTCCCATCCACTATAGTGCCTTGAGCTGAAAAATATAATACTGGGAAAGGCTTAGCCCCAGGCTGGTTTAAGGTAACCATTGGTTAAAGGGTAGGTTGATTTTTTTCTCCTCCATCATCATGGAGGGGACCTAGTGCCCAGGTGGGAATGAGAGAGCCCCTTGAGTACTCAGACCTCAGGCCCTGGGGCATATAATTGGGTCACAAACAAGTGCTCTCTGCCCCAATTTTTTAAATCGTATTTACTCCCCTCGCTTGCAATTTGGGTGAAGGCACATGGAGGCCTGGCCCAGGTTTACTGGGCCATTAGGGGAACAGACCAACGTGGCTGTTGTAGCACAGCATTAGGGTGGCAGTCCGAGGCGCAGGAGCAGGCACAGCCAAGGCTGTAGGACTTCTCCAGATGCCCCAAATAAATTTGAGTCCACAAAGATTCAGATGTTCTCCTTGGCAGCTTTGAGCGTCTTCAGAGTTTTTGTTTATCTTTCCGCCCTACAACAAGGCATTGTCATGCTTTGAGTCCTTAGTGTCCGACACCGGGCATGACCAAGAGCAGATGTCCAGGAAATGGAAGGTCTGGCTAACCTCTGTGAGCAATTCAGGGCTGACTCAGGCACCTCCTTGAGAAGTCTTTCATCCCAGACATACCCTTTCCACCATGAGTCTCCATAGCTGTTCAAGTTCTCTGTATTGTGGGCTTTAAATTATTTGCCAAATGAATGGAGGCTTGCAGGCTGACTCTCCTCTGAATAGCTGCTAGGTCCAATGGAATTCTTTCCCCTTCATTCACCTGCTCAGTGTATTTCAACATCTAACTGATTACTGGATGGTACATATACTCGCTTACTGAGCTCAAAGGTCACCTCCTCCAAGAAGTCTTTCTGACCTTCCCTTTTATGTGCTCCTCTTCATGTACCTAGGTGGATCTCATCTCTTAGGTAAGAGATCTACCTCTGAAGTAGATAGATCCTGGTTGGCATCTCAGATCTGTCGCTTGAAAGCTTGGGCAAGTTCCTATATGTTTTGCTGGTCAATAAAATGGCTGGCTGAGAAGTCCAAAAATGAGGTTCTGAACTACCAGGCTGAATTGCCAGGATAGCCATTATGCCCTCAACCCTTAAAGGAGGAGAAGGGCAGGACATTTGCTGGTCTGAGTACCTGGGCTCTCTAAGGGGAAGAGGGGAAGTTACAGTGGGGTTCATCCTTCTCTGCCCAGTCTAATGTCTTCTAGAAAAGAGAGCCTAAAACAAGAACTAAGCACTGATGTTTGATTTGAGTGGTGTAAACCCAAGGTATTGAAAGTGAGAAAAGGGAAGCAAGGTGGGGAAGAATGGGAGGTATACAAAGTGACAGCAGGTGGAGTTCCACTTCATGACAAGCCTTGAAGTAGCACAGCAGGTGTGTCCACTGGCTACTTGGGAGATCTCCCCATTGGCTGTACCGTTCGGAGTAACGCTGCCTTGCAGCAATTCAGAGAGATAAGAAAGAGGGAATTTATCTGCCTGGCTCTCCCCTATCTCCCATTGGTCAGATGTTTCCCCAGGAGCATTAATTCCCACATACTTCTGGGTTGCTAGTGGCTACCTGAGATGCCAGATCCTGTGCCCTATGGTGGGGCATTCCACCCAAGTCTGGAAGTAGTGGGAGGAGACAAACTCTGGGCATGTGGCTGGTGAGTGCTGGACAGAATATGATTCAATACATAAACTGTGTCCAAACAGTGTAATACGGTTTTTCTCATTTACCAGAAGAAACATGGCATAGTGATCAAAGACCAAGGTAACATGGCTAGTAAGTGGTAAATTCAGGATTTGAATATAGCCTGGCTCTGGAAACTGTGCAAGACCAAGATAAGGTACTTGGATTTTATGTAGCAGGCAAAAGAGAGTCACTAAAGTGTTTCAATCTAGGGAGTGACAAGATAAAGAGCTTTTAAAATAAAGCTCCCAATCTCTACTCTGCTCCATCTTCCCATGCGCCTAAACTCAGCAAAAGTAGGTGGCCCCAGAGAGGTAAGGGCATCCAAGACAGTTTTTGAAGAGTCCCTGACTGGGTCCGGAGATCATATATGTTTCAATACTGTCTCCTAATCCTTCTCGGTCTTCATCTAAGCCTATACCTACCAAAGAGACTAGCTGGTCAGAGGCAGGCAGGATATGGGTGCAAAAGATAAAATGAGAGAAGATGAGATAGACCTAAAGACCAGGAACAGGAGGACCAGCCATCTGTCCATTATCGGCCTGTGGGCCAGGGGATCCTGGCACCCGCAGATGAGTCCTTTGGTGTTGCCTGAGATGGTCGGATCTCATGAACTGTCGGCCGCACTGATCACATCTATGTGGTCGGTATCTGGTGTGTATCCTCATATGCCGTCCAAGCTCATCAGAACGAAAGAAAGACCACGTACAGCTTGCCCATGTGCATTTATAGGGCCTCTCACCTGAGGAGGGAAGGTGACAAGGGAGGGAAGAAATTAAGTAGAGGAATTTAGGCCAGCAAGTGGGAAGGAGACGTTAGACTCTGAGGCAGAGCAGTCAAGGCTGAGGAATCAAAAGGAAAAGCATAAAACATTGAGGAGGCAACACAATCAGCAATCTCCATCATCTTGGCAGTCATTCTGGACTGTGAGAAAGCAAGTTGGTGTGAACAATAGCTGGACCCCCAGCTTGAAGGATGATAGGCTAATCCCCAACCATTATAAAACAGTGGTCTAGCACAAATCTTAAAGCCCAGAGACTCCTCTACCCCACCCCAGTCTGACACTTCATTCACCTGTGTGTTTGCGCTGGTGACTCACGAGGTGGGAGCGCTTAGTATAAGCTTTTCCACAGTCTTCATACTGGCAGCAGTAAGGCCTTGAAACCGGGGAGCTCCTCTTGGGAGCCCTTTCCTGGGCCCTGGAGTTCTGCTCTGTTCTCTGTGGAGCATGTATGTGCTGCTCAGGTCGGAATGGATCTTCCTGGAAGGCTGGCTGGCTCCCAAAAGAGTCTTGGGATTCTAAAGCCAGCAATGATGGGGATCCAGCTGGGGGCATTCCACAACTGTGGGGATCTCTAGGGGGCAACATCTGAGCCAAAGAGGGGAGCATTGCCTCAGTAGAAGGCATGGCTGGTGCCAATAACATTTTAGGTGTTAAAGAGTCTCTGTTAGATGGTATTGTTGGGGGGCCAGAATAAGGCATTGTTGGAGCCCTGATGTGGGACACCATTGGGATTCCACTGGGAGCTGAGACTGGTGGCCCACTGGGGGGCATCCTTAGATTCCCACTGAAGGTCATGGCCATCCCTGGAATATTGGGCTCTCCTAAGGGCATCATCTGGGGCCCCTTCAAAACCATCATTCCTGGTTGAGAGGGAGATATTCCCTGACAGTAAATCGTCTGGGAAGGTGTGAGAGTCACTTGGGGGCCGTAGTTCGCACCATGCTCAGGCAGCAATACACTGAACTGTGATCCCATTTCACTTTCATTCTGCCTGGGTGTGTCAGCAGAGACCAAGGGGATCCTCTCCAGCTGTGGGCACTGAGGGAAGTGTTGAATGCCTGATGGGCCATGGTTCCAAGAGGTGTGCACTCCACTGCTTTCGGGAGATGGAGACATGTCCAAGATGCACATTGACTTCTCAGTATCCTTGAAGAGAGAGAGAGAGTCGGGTGAAATTCACCCTAGCTCAAATTCCATTTCCACATGTCCCTTTCCCCACCTCCAAACCCCACCTGAATGCAGGTCTCCATCATCTCTTGCTTGAATTATCCTGCCTCCAGGCCATTCTCCAGCCTGGGTTTTTCTAAGATGCAGGTCTGGCTGACAGCACAATGGAAGCCTAAGTGTGACTCATGCCACTTTTCTTCTTTGGCATATTTTTTGTTTTTTTATTTCATAAAAAGCAACAAAGAGCAAATAAAGTATTCCACAGCCTACCCCCTTCAACAAAACTCTGAGAAAACCTTCAAACTCCAGATTATATTTAAGTGTGAGGATGAAAGAACATCCCAAACCAACAGAATGGGTACAGAAAGCCACAAAGGTAGGTAGAATGGTGGCTTCAGATAGGTCCTGGCTTTAACAAAACTTAGAAACCCTCTGCAAATATTTCCCTA